AAAAAAAAAAAAAAAAAAAAAAAAAAAGCCAAAAGCATGTCAGCCAAGGAGGTCATCTGTGACACCCCTAAGCAGTGGCTTTGAGCACTACACAGGGGTTCACGCTAATCACGAAATGCTGTGCCCTGCAGATAGCCCCATAAATGACTGTGACTATCAGCCTAATGCCTAGAATTTAACAAGAGAGTAGGCACATATGTTATACACTGTACCGACTGTACAACTGCCTTCTTGGCAGTATTGGGCTCATTTGTCCCTCCCTCATCACCAAGCATGTGCCAGGGAAAGACGACGGGTAGAGTAACAGGGGCATACTTTTAATTTTTATTGTACATTAAAAGGTACACATGCAGGGGGGCATAACTTTAAGTGCTGAGTATAAAATTAAGCTAGATGGTGTTGAAGCTGGTGAGAACTGATTTGAGCTAGTACATTTCAAAGGGGTTTTACTAAAACAGAGTTGTTTCCACTCTTTGTACATCATGATAAAAGCGAGAAATACTTGCGTACAAGTGGAGAACCCAGGAATGAAGTTTATGTTTCCTCCAACTGGCTTCTAGGATGTGGCAAATGAGATCCAGCTGGAGGGTGAAGACAGTCCATTAACCATTACTTCATTCCTTCCCTCACAACTAGGCCTCCACAGCTCAGATAAGCATTCAGGGCAGCTGGCACTCAGGCTGCGCCCAGAAACACAACTAGCCTTTCTGAGGTTAATTCTGAAGCACTGAACCCCAAATGGAAAGACTGAAAATGTGCACCAGAATGTAACAGAGCATCCTCTGTCTGTGCAGCCAGTGCCCTGGCTCAGCCTCCCCAGCCCAGCTAACTGGCCCCACCACTCACACTTACAGACCTTTATCCATCAGTGAAGGTCAAGTGCCAGAGGGTTTGCTCTAGGCCTGTCACAATGCAAGGGCCAACATCGGACAGAAGAAAAGAGACACAGAATGGAGGTCGTGTGCGTGAACTGTGGAGTAAAACTGATATCAAGTCCAGATTCTATATGTTCCTAGTTGTGTAACCCTACGCAAGTTACACACTCTCTCCAAATTGCAGTGTCCTCACGTGTAAAATGAGGGGAAATATTTAATAGGGTTGTTGTAAGAATTGGTTAGCACACTGACTAAAACTAATCAACCAAAGTAGCTAGCCTTCTTTGTCTTAGAGCTTTATCCAAAAACTCATTCTAACTCTGCAACACGTTTGCCAGCAGAAGAGTAGTCCCCACGGAGCTGTTATCAGCCATGAACCACACATTGTGTGGGCCAAGAACAGGGGGCAAAGCAGAAGGCTCTCCATAGAAGCTCACAGGCAAATGCTATCCTCATTGTTACAGATCCTTAGTTTCTCTTTGGCTGAAATCAATAAGTTAACATGTAACCAATATAATCAGGTTCTGCAGCAACTTCCTTGGATATGTTTTTTTTGTTGTTGTTTTTTTTTTTTTTTTTTTTTAGACGGAGTTTCACTCATGTTACCCAGGCTGGAGTGCAATGGCACGATCTCGGCTCACCGCAACCTCCGCCTCCTGGGTTCAGGCAATTCTCCTGCCTCAGCCTCCTGAGTAGCTGGGATTACAGGCATGCGCCACCATGGATATGTTTTAGAAAGGATACCCACCACTCTCCTTAGAGGGAAGCAAAAGGCATGACTAGTGGCTGCTGGGGAGGGACAAGGAGATGTGGCCTTAATCAGTGACTGCTGAGTCAAAGTCAGGGACGTGAGTTTTCTGAAACTTAATATGTATCATTTCTGGGCCTATTAGTTCTGCAGGCTGTTAACACAAACTAGTGTTAAAACTTACGTGATTATGGAGAAAAATGAGGCTTGAATGGAAATGGAAATGCTACCTTCTTAGCACTATAGGAGGTAAGATTTCAAGTCAACAGAAATAAAGGTGACAGGTGGATGTGTTAAATTACTGTGTGTTGTGAGTTTAAAAAAAAATAAAGTTAATGTCAACATGGAGAGGATCAGTAACACGTTCATAAAGTGAGCTCCTTGGTACAGTTCTATTGAGAAGGAGACTTTAGAAAGATTCAATGTCCTGATGATAAATGTAAGTACATGAGAATACTAACCTCTCCTAATATATTAAAAACTATGAAACTCAAACCTTAGTACAGAAATTCAAATATATCATGTAGAAGCAACACTAATGACTGCAATAAAGGCAGAAAACTTGAAAATTAAACCTGAACTAATTGTCAGGATTATATCTAATACATTTAACAAATCTTCCAGAGTTCAATGGAAAAATATATGTTCACACCCTGGTTTATCTGCATGCTGGTCTTAAACACATTGGGAAAAATAAGGGAGTGTTCTTTCTTTCTGTGCAAATGTTTTTTGAATTTGTCCAACATTATTTCTAGATTCTGAGCAAGATCAGGCCTCAACTCTATATGCTTTTTGAAAGACTCAAGAAAGAAAATTCAATCTAGTCATATCACTGCTATTTACACACAGTGGTGTTACTAATCTGGGTAACAAAATTTCAGTGAGTGGCTACCAGGTAAGGAACTGCCAATCTCAGTCTCATGTGGTAGGGTTCATACAAGTGAGCTAGAATCTGGCCTAGTTGGGCCACTGGAACTAATTAAGATTTGAGGTTCAAGTTCTCTCATGTCTGCATAAACCTCCATGTAGAGAAATCATCACTTACTGTTTAATAAGGAGCTGGAAGTTGCCAAGATGAGATATCAGCATCTGGCAACCATACTAAATTCACTGTACTATGCTTCCATGGGTGTATAATCACTGTTTGAAGGGAGGGCAATAAATCACTTTCCAAACCAAATGCTCTTTGCTTATGGTCCTTATTTCTCTTTTCTCAATCCATAGCACCAAATACTGGTTTAAGAACAGAAGATCTCCAAAAATCTAGTTTGAAAGACACACATATGGGTTCACTGAACCACAACTAGACAACTGTATGGGGAGTGGGGTGAAGGGGGGTACGAAGAGAACAAAAAGCAAGACCAACCAGTTTTGAAATGTAGTCCAAAACCATCTGTTCAATTTTCTTCTTTTCTACACCCTGTAGGTGTCTCAAAAAATGGTCTTTTAGCTCAGACACCATCTGAAAACAGCATATGCATTAAATAAGTCACAGCCTATCCATTCATACCTGGCTTGGTTTGAATTAGATCCACTTATTAACATTCCTGATCAATATAAAAATATTGGATCTGAAGGTCCCAGCAACAGAAATGCGTAACTCTCAATAGTTCTCTGGTAAGCATAAAAAAGGGGTCCCCAACATTTGCCAAAAAAAAGTATTACTTATGATTCACCCAAAGCCCAGTGAACAACTATGAGTAAGGCTCTAACTCTGATGAGAATCCTCCAAAGACAACAGTGAAAGTCACCAACTTAGAAGTCACAGGCTTTGGGATCTACCAAAGGATTGAAGTCTACTGCTCCTGGAGCCCTTGGGGATTAACTGAAACAACTCTATACATAGAATGACTGAGCCAATGTGGGCAACAGTTTTGGGTGTTTAGAGGACAGAGGCATGAGGAAACAGGAAATTATCAGGTACTTCCCTCTACACAGTGGCCACAGACCCTTAACACAGCCCTTGCCTCCAAATAGGCTTGTTTCTATACTCACTTGGACCATCCTTGGGCCTCCCCACTCCGCCAACCATTAGCATTCCCAGCCCTCCCCACCTTTGCTTTTCTCCCTCCTCTTCTCTCTTTTGCCTAGACATCCTATTCAGCAAGAGCAAGATGCCAGGGCAATGTCTGTGCCAATAAACAGCCCAAGGGAGTTGTACAGCTTATATCACCCATGCACACATCTTCTATTTTAGCAGATTCACATCACAATACCCCAAGTAAAAACTAGTCCACAACCTTCAGGGCCAAGACATAGTGGTACCTTATTTCAATTCACTCTCATGCATGTACCAATTAATTTGCCTTTAAATATGTTTTATGTATAATAAATAGTGCACACTTTGTGCTTTCCAATTTTTCCGTGAAGATAAAAATTAAAATCACCCATAATCCTACCACCCACATTAACAATTGGGGATTATTTTTTTCTTTTTCCTGGCATGCACGCCCATTCTAATGTTGTATGTTTGTCATATAAACATTGTTTCCCATACTTTTTTTTTTTTTTTTTTTTTTTTTTTTTTTTTTTTTTGACAGTCTTGCTCTGTCGCCCAGGCTGGAGTGCAGTGGTGCAATCTCAGCTCACTGCAATCTCTGCCTCCTGAGTTCAAGGGATTCTCATGCCTCAGCCTCCCAAGTAGCTGGGATTATAGGTGCATGCTACCACACCCAGCTAATTTTTATATTTTTAGTAGAGACGGGGTTTCACCATGTTGGCCAGTCTGGTCTTGAACTCCTGACCTCAGGTGATACACCCCTCAGCCTCCCAAAGTGCTGGGATAACAGGTGTGAGCCACTGTGCCTGGCCATGTTTGCCATACTATTTTAATGGCTGTACAATATTTAATTTTACAAAATACTATAATTATTCCCTTCCTGTATATGTGAGATTTTTCTTTTATTATTGTTGCCATATCTAAACTAATAAATAAATTATCCTATTCTTAAATCCTCATGGTATTAAAAATATGTTATTAGACTTCCATGATGTCTCTTTAATCAGCTTTTTAAAGGTTTTGGATTTATTTACAAATTCTGCTTTTCAATTAATTTATGTATGTTTCTTTGGTCTCAAGTAGTATTATGACTACTTGAGAGAAAGTACTTTGTTGTTTTTTTGTTTTGTTTTGTTTTGTTTGAGATGGAGTCTCCCTCTGTCACCCAGGCTGGAGTGCAGTGGTGCAATCTTGGCTCACTGCAACCTCCATTTCTTGAGTTCAAACAATCCTCCTGCCTCAGCCTCCTGAGTAGCCGGGATTACAGGTGTACACCATCATGTCTGGCTAATTTTTGTATTTTCAGAAGAGACAGGGTCTCACCACGTTGCCCAGGCTGGTCTCGAACTCCTGACCTCAGGTGATACGCCTGCCTCAGCCTCCCAAAGTGCTGGGATTACAGGCATGAGCCACTGTGCCTGGCCTGTTCTGTTGTATTTTAAACCCCAAATACAAATGCCACAAAGATGCAACTCTTTCCTTTTTTAAAGCACTCTCAATGGTATACACTCCTTATAATGGGTTGTAAATTACATATGTATTGGTATGATTCATGTGTGTCTTCTCCCTTGACTACATATTCCAAGAGGGCAAAAATCATATGGGTTGCTTACCACTGGACACACAGGGTCCATAATGCTGGCAAAAAGTATTTGTTTAAAGAATAAAGAATAAGATCAGAATGAGAAGCCCACTTTAGCCTTTTCCCCTCATCTTAGGGTCCCTTGTTTGCCAGTCCCTAAAGAACCCACATACCACTTACCAGCCCCATAAGCAGCCGCTGGTGGCTGTCCTCCTCCTGCAGGAGGGGCGTCAATCTTGGCTCTGAAAGGAAACAGAGCAACAGTCAGGCTCCGAGCAGTTTTCAAGAGATGGATTAGGATGGAGAAGAATCAGCCTGGGTTTCCCTTCTCTGAGTCATTGGGAAAACACAACACTTCCCTGACAGGATGAAAAGTTTTTATCACGTAAGTGTGACCTAGTCCTACAAGCTGAACTTATCACTGAGATGACACAGAAAGGAATGTGAACACATGAGGAATGACGGAAAAACAACACATTCCTCAACCCACCCTGATAGGCTCTAATTTTGCTTTTTGTTCAATGTTAAAACTCACTGTTAAGAACCTCTGCTCCACTGGAAACAGAGGGACTTGGCCCTTCTCTTAACCCTTCTGGGGTCATAAACTGAGAGATTGGGGCTCGGTGGAAGGGAGTTGCATGGCTCTCTTCTACTTTATGATCCCTGTAGTTCAGTGGCTTTGGGAGTTACTGAGCTGAGGGGACCAGTCAATTACTGTGGCAAATAATGCTAACTGGCACACGTTTTCAGACTGCAAAGGTAGCTAGGACACAGTAGAAAAGTAATAAATCAAATCGTGCTTTCTCCACCATGATTTGCAATGCACGAGCAATCCACACTAGAGTGTAGTAGCCCCAGGGGCAGGTAAACCCAGTCTTGCTGGAAAATCTACCCCAAAGTGCTTCTAACATCTTCGTATTCTTTTTTCCTTAAATACTTGAGATCCAGTGCCAGGCAAGAGGGCAGAGCCACCCTGCTCAGTGGGCTGGCAACTCCTTCTGGGAGGGCATGGATATCTCCTGACCACGTGTAATAAATCCTCCCTGGATCCTACACAACCCTCATGCTTGATATGAAATGATTTTAAATGTGAATCCAACAGCCTGCATTTTACAGAACGTTCTGTTTCAGGCAGTGACATTCTTCATGGGGAACTAGTACAAACAAAGCACGTGTAAGGAAAGGGAAGAGTTTTCCTAAAGTGCATTAATAGAGACTGACTAGTTAACAGAATGCAAACGGCCCTGACACACAGAGTAACTCCATAAGTAACTCGACCAGACCAGCAACGTTCCCCGTGTTGCAAAACCCCCAGCAATGCAAGGACGGTAAGCCTGAATCACACGCATGCATGCCCCGAGCTTCAGTCATTGATGGCCTGGTAAGGCAGAGGCTGATTCCTCCTGGGCTGCTCGGTGAGCCCAGGTTCTGTCAGCCTGAGCTGGATGACAGGTGCGCTGTCACAGTTCACTGGGCTGTGTGCACAGCTGCAGAATGTGCAACAATGCACTGTATAAACTAGTTTCCATTACAGTCACCCAACATCCAAACCCATAAAACACGAGTGGGATATAAAAACAACAGCTTATTTAATGAAAGCTGACCTTCAGGAGGCATGAATGTGTTCTTCTGGCAACTACAAATAAGCCTGTGCCTGAATATGCTCAGCATTCTCCCCTGGTTTCACCTGGCCAAGTCCTCCTTGTTTATCAAGACTTAATTCACATGTCACCCCTGTGGGGAGCCTCTTCCAACCTCCCTCCCTCCTCCAGCCATCCCTGTTCCTGACCTATCCTCTCACTCCCTGCATCCACGGGTCACATAATACCTGTCATTTGGTTTAGAAGCCACACATTAACATTTCTTCCTTACACACTAAGGATAAAGCAGCCACCTCAGATACCGGCATGCTCTAAGCACTGTGCTAGGTGCTATCTGCATTACCCAGTTAGTATCATTTTCTCCTCGCCCCCCTGAGCAGAACAGTGCATAAAATGGATAAGTGACTTGCCCAGGAGCACATGGTTCTCATGTAGCCATGCTGGAATCTAAGTCCAGCTCTGTCTATCTCTCAAGCCTGTGCTTTCCCCAGAACCACATCTTTATGCCTCTAGGACCTGTGTGCCCAATTTTTAACGAAAATGAGAGGCACAGGCAAGACCCAGTAGGATCAGACAGCTGGAAAGCAAGCAGTGCCAAGCCAAGGGAATTGTTAAAATGCATCCTGTGGGCACAGCCAGAAGGCAATAAAGAGAACCACAGGGCCATCACCCAGGGACTCCCACAGCAAAAGCACATTCAGCAACTGTCCCCGGAGGTCCTGGTGCCCAGACAGACATAGGAAGAGCTGTGCAGCCACTCTTAAGAGGAAGATATTAAAGAAAATCACTTCCACACTACTGGAAGTGATTTTCTTGCCAACCCACAGTGGTAGGAAGAACAGCACTACAAACAGAACACTGACTGAAACCCAGAAGGCTTTATTACAGATCTTTTCTTACCCAAATTTCTTGCTTCTAGGTTAGAAATCACCCTACGAAGAAATTAGCCATGTTATTCACAGAGCATCGCTTTTAAAAAATTTAAAGCCACATCATACAAAGATGTCCTACTTTAAAATTTCATAAAAACCACTGTGGAAACTATTCTCAGGCTGTTGAAACCTCAAAAACTTTGATCAATGTATTGAAAACCACATTAGGCAATTATAAAATCTCAAAACCCTTTAGTGCCAACAACGGCAATAATTTAGGACAATTGTAGCTCTCAGTTATTGAAAATAATGGGGAGAGAAAATGGAACACAGGTTGGAACGGAGCCTATACTTTCAGCACTCTGAAATGACTCATATACCCTGAAAATCGGCTTTCAAAATAAGAGCAAGCTCGCTAGCCCACTGACACTTAAAAAAAAAAAAAAAAACTACTATTTACCTTTCTCTCCTAAAATGATCACTAACAGGAAATTTACCACTTATCCATTGTAAACATCTATCCACAGGTTACAAGTCTACAAGGTTTAATATATAAGCTTTTCCCAGTAGAAATTCCAGCACCAAATTCCAGAATAGGATCCAAGTGACTGCATGCATGAAGCTGACAACATCATTTTGCTGGGGATATGCAACAAAGTAAGCTGTTTCTATAAAAGGTAGTCAACAAAATAAAGTAATTTTAACTGTTAATCATCTTACAGATACTATACCCTCTAATTTCACTTACTTTATCGCATTATCAAGAATATTCCTCACATATGCCGTGGACCTTCTTTTTCCTGTTTTCTATGAGTGAGAATACATCAGGAATGTGGAAGGTAAAGGTTTTAATGGGTGACTTTTCACATCAAAGATATAATGCAATACAGTTAAGAACATCAGAGAGGAGAAATATACTTTCCAGATAATCGGAACACCTAGATTTTAAAAAGTATTTTTAAGAAACTTTTTATTCTGAAACAATTACAGATTCACAGGAAACTGAGAGTCAACTATACACTATATACAATACTAATCTACATTCAGTGATACTACAGAGAGAGATCCAACGTACCCTCCACCCGGTCTCCTCCAGTGCTTCTATTTTACATAACTAGAGCACAGTATCAAAAGCAAAAACTGACATTGGCACAATGTATGTGTGTCATTCTATGCCATTTTATCACGTTCAGATTCTTGTTCCAACGTAACACCATGATCAAGATTCAGAATTCTTTGATCACCCCCAAAGATTTCCATGTCACCCCTGGATAGTGAGTCCCATCCACTGTTCTCCCTCCAACTACCCCCAACCCCTAACGACCACTAATTTGGGAACATCTATATTTTTTAAAATCAAATTTTAACTACTTAAGTAACCTGGGAACATAGCTGAGAGGTGGATATTAATCGTACTTCTACTATGAATGCGCTGTGTGTCCCTTAACCCTTCTGCCCTTCAGTTTCCTCCCTGCAAGAACAAAGATTGTAGAAGCACCTCCACCTATTGAGATCAGTCATGACAATGTTCAAGTCCCTGGCAACTGGGAAGAGGGCTGCACATGGAAGCCAGTCTTATGATTTAAGGGCATTGCCTGGATCCAGGCCCCTATGCCTGGATGCTGGCTTTGCTCTCACTGACCCACTCATACCTCTTCAGAGATCAGGTTTTGCCACTCTCTCCTGACCACACTGTTGTTATAGTGGAAGTGTGGCTTGGCGTACTTGACATATTCCAGGTTGGAGTTCAATTTTTCCCAGTAGCCCTTAAAGCTGTGCACCTGTAGGAGACAAGAACATCAGCGGTCTTCAGAAGCTGCCCTGGTGGTCCAAACTACCCAGTGAGTATCACACAAGGCTTATTTCCCCAGCTCTCAAGGCCCATATTTCTAAGTGAATACTTTCGACAGAGGATGGCATTCTAGACCCAATAGTGATTCTAAAATAGACTTAAAGAATCTTATTTTCCCACCTCATTTTCTGTCTTTTTTGTATGGTCTTTTTAAACCACATAGAGAAATGCTGCTCACTTCCCAAAACCAACAGGACTTCCCTGAGTTGACGCTTAGCGGGGAAACCTGTATTAAACATATCGAGTCATTTCCTCCCTAGAGACCCATTTTTGTGACTTAGGTGGTGTCAACAGTGCCATATTCACTAAAAGAAAGTTCATAACATTTGGATAAGTGGAGGAGGTGAATTTTCCTGCTAAACTTATTTACTCCCAAGGACATTTTTCAAAACCTAAGAATCAAAAAGGATGAAATGAACTAATTTTACATTCAGTTGTCACATACTCCAAAACAGAATTAGCATTCTATCTAGGTTTTTGAATTATTGATATAATTGCACTACCCTGAAGCAAGAATGTATCCATTATATTCATTTTTTAAATAATAAAATGCAATGTTAATACATTCTTAGTGTTGAAGGATATACTAACACAAATTGGTTTTAAACCAATAGCCTTTTGATACTTTTTGCCAAAATATCTACATTTGCAAATGATTTGACTGGGGCCAGAGTTGTAATGTGTGGTCATAAAACCAAGTGAGCTATTGCCTGCCAAGGTGACAGACTTGGCTGAACAGCAAGAAAAATAGGAAAACTTTAAAAAATATACCTTGACCAAGAAAAATTCCCTGATGTTAAATTATAGCATATTATTAACATTTTTATTCAAAGGACAGTCATAATTGGCTTGAAATGTATTTTGTAATATCAGTAAGGTGAGCAACATAATATTAAAACTTGTTCATTCAGAAGCCTGAAATACCCATCTAGCCAACATTCCTCCTCCCAGAGACAGAAAAACTCTTCCCAAGAAAGTCTCATTTCCAGAAGAAAACACGAATCAGATCCCACTCCTCACTTGGCCCACCTCACTTGTCTTTTCTTTTTCCTTCCATTTATTTATAATGAACGTACACTTATCCACCCTTTGGGTCTTCTTTGTAATTAAGGGGAAAAAAAAAAGACAAGATAAATCCAGCAGACATTTGGCAGAATTAGGTCCCTGCCTGGAAGTCACTACAGCTTTCGTGCTGTCCTAATCTGGGCCCAGGCACAGGAGTGCCAAAAGCCAGAAAACTAATTGGTGTTGTGGTGACATCTAGTGGTCAGGTAAGCTATTAACTCTGCCTGCTTAGCCACAGGAGTCCCACCAGGCAGTTCACCCACAACCTTGTCCAGGACAGGATAGGGGAGGGGAGGGGAGAATCTCAGGTGCCCTCTACCTGTCATCTGGCCCCATCCCCTCAAGTTAAATGCTATCCTGTTGTTAGAAGGCGCCATTCACACTGCAGCTCTGAAGAAAAGATCTCTCCCACGTTACCTTCCTTCTAACTCCATTTAAAAAATCCCTTTCCTCATAACATTCTGGGGAGGTAGGCACATTTCTCATAGGTGTTTTATTTAAAATTAACAAATAATAATTGTATGTATTTATGGGTTGCAATGTGGTGTTTCAATACATGCATACCTTGTGGAATTATCAAATCAGGCTAATTAGCATAACCGTCTGTCTGCTAAGAAGAAACAGATCAATCAGAGCTCACCACATGTCTGTGGACAGGCTTTAGAGGGGTTCCAGCACCCACAGCCTGAATGTAAAATAGAGCATGTGTTTGTATAAGCACTCTTCTGAGGAGATGGTCTGTAGCTTGCACCAGATTTCCAAAGAAATCCATGGTCTAAAATAGACTAGAGTTAAAAGCAAAAGGATCTGAATTTAAAACAAAAATTAAAACTTACATTTAAGTCAGAAATACTGTTAGCCAAACATCCCAAAAATATTTTCACATGAACTTACATGTTTTTCAGGGAGGTCACTGGCCTATTTATTATAGACATTAAACGTATCTATACTATCTTACAGATATTAAGATGATACAGAAAAAAACTACATATGTCACTATTTGGTATCCACTAGAAAAGTGATATTTTTTTTTCAGTTAAGAAATGCACAGAAATCATTCTAAATTGGAAAGTCTATTTGGAAACCTGGCAAACAGACATGGCACAGGGGAGGGAAATGGATCTGAGTCAGTGAAGGACAAGGAAAGGATGTTCTAGGTGAGACTCTTAGGGTGTGAGCAAAGGCAGAGACTAGAACATGGAATCGGGGCTCATATCTGAGGCACAGCATTAGAGCCAACAGCACTTCACTCCCTGTGGTGAACACAACGACCTCCAACGTGTGCCACGCCCAGCCTCTGCTGCCCATTGGAACTACCTGGGTCCCATCCCCAATTTGATTTAGTTGGCTTGAGGTATGCCTGAGCCTTATGAGTTTTACAAGTTCCCCCAAGTGATCCTAATGTTCAGCCAGGACTGAGAACACTGTTTGAACATGTTCAAGTAAACCCTCAAATACTTTACTAAATCTATATACCTTTGGCTTAAAGGCTATATAAATCACCAACTGTCTAAAGACTTGTGATTGTGTGGTTTTAAAATAGGAGATATAAAGAGGTAGTTAGGGCCAAATCTTTGAGGGATTCTAAATGCCAAGGTAACACCAGCATGCTCATTATCCCAGAGAATAAAAGGATCTCCCACATAACATTTTAGATGTTGTAACCCAGAATGGAGGGGAGAGAAAGGGAGAGTTGAATCTACACAATCCCATGCTAAGAGCCAAGACATGCCATCACGCCACTATGCTCTAGGATGAGCCTGGTCAAGAAATAACAGATGCTGGATGAGGCTGTGGAGAAACAGAAATGCTTTTACACTGTTGGTAGGAATTTAAATTAGTTTGACCATTCAACCATTATGGAAGACAGTATGGAGATTCTGCAAAGACCCAGAAGTATTATACCATTTGACCTAGCAATCCCATTGCTGGGTATATGCCCAAAGGAATATAAATCCTTCTATTATAAAGCTACATGCACGTGTATGTTCTCTGCAGCACTATTCACAACAAAGACATGGAATCAACCCAAATGCCCATTAATGATAGACTGGATAAAGAAAACATGGTACATATACACTATGGAATACTATGCAGCCATAAAAAGGAACAAGATCATGTCCTTTGCAGGGACATGGATGGAGCTGGAAGCCATTATCCTTAGCAAACTAACACAGGAAGGGAAAACCAAACACTGCATGTTCTCACTCAGAAGTGGGAGCTGAACAATGAAAACATATGTTCACAGGGAGGAGAACAACATACACTGTGGCCTGTTGGCGGCAGTGGGGAAGGAGAGCATCAGGACAAATAGCTAATGCATGCTGGCCTTAATACCTAGGTGATGGGTTGACAGATGCAGCAAACCAACATGCCACATGTTTACCTATGAAACAGACCTGCATGTCCTGCACATGTATCCTGGAACTTAAATTTAAAAAGAAAAAAAAAAAAAAAAAAGATGAGGCTGGGCACAGTGGCTCACGCCTGTAATCCCAGCACTTTGGGAGGCTGAGGCAGGCAGATCATGAGGTCAGGAGATAAAGACCATTCGGGCCAACATGGTGAAACCCTGTCTCCACTAAAAATACAAAAAAAATTAGCTGGGCGTGGCAGTGCACACCTGTAGTCCCAGCTACTCGGGAGGCTGAGGCAGGATAATTGCTTGAACCCAGGAGGCAGAGATTGAAGTAAGCCGAGGCTGTGCCACTGCACTGCAGCCTGGGCGACAATGTGAGACTCTGTCTCAAAAAAAAAAAAAACAAAAAACGATGAACCTGGAACACAGCAAATCACTGACAATCAGCTAGCACTTATCCAACAAGGCAAATACTGTCCTCATCTGGAACAATAGCACCACAAAATGAAAGCCACAACTGCCCAGGAAGCCCATCACCAGCTACTTGCAAAGAGCTAATAAAGCTTTAAAAATAATACACAAAAAAATGCTGTATAAGTAACTTAATATGCCGGGTACAGTGGCTCACACCTGCAATCCCAGCACTTTGGGAGGCCGAGATGGGTGGATCACTTGAGCTCAGGAGTTTCAGACCAGCCTGGGCAACATGGCAAAACCCTGGCTCTACTTAAAAATGTAAAAAGTTAGCTGGGTGTGGTGGCATGTGTCTGTAGTCCCATCTACTCCGAAGGCTGAATGGGAGGACTGCTTGAACCTGGGAAGGTGGAGATTGCAGTAAGCCAAGATGCCAATGCATTCTAGCCTGGATGACAGAGTGAGACACTATCTCAAAAAAAGAAAAGAAAAATACCCCTGAATTAGAGACAATGTTAGAAGCAATCAGATCCTCAAGGAACGACCTGGAAGCATTTTCCTACATAAAGGGGAGTTTTTTTCTCTTAGGATGACCTCAAATAATTGCCAAACACAGCCCATCACAACTATTCATTGAACAAAAGAACCAGTGGGTTACATTAAGGAACTGTTTCCCATTTATGATTTGGATTGCCAGTTGATCCAAAAACAAACAAAGCAAAAAAGCCCTGGGGTACTGGCTCATCTGCAAATTACTGTGAGAAAAACACATCTGCCTTTCATTTCTAAAAGGCCCTCTGGCTTTGGTCCTACTTCTGCTGATTAACCAGCATCTTCTTACAGAGGAGGCAGCCAACTCAAAGAGAACCCTTTCCTCTGTGTGCCAGGACTCAACTAGCACAGCTAAAGCATCATCCAATTTAGCTCTTCAGTGGATCCCATCTCAGTATCAGCTTTTACTTATAGCCCAGAGAAACACAGTGACCCATTACCTCTAAGCATTGACAGAATAAACAGAAAAAGTTTGTGTGTATATAAAGCTATGAAGGCACTAAACTAAGATACTCTAAACAGGAACACTCATTCACAGG